TGATAAACTACATGCACACAAAAAGGAAATCAAATAATATTTAAGTTTTTAATTTTTTCAAAACATGCCTTGGCTGAAGTTGCTCTGCTCAACTATCAGCACTGTCAGTAAGATACCAACATCACAGATGAAATTCTTAACGAATGTAGACAAAAGCTTGTTCCATTGATAAACTACATGCACACAAAAAGGAAATCAAATAATATTTAAGTTTTTAATTTTTTCAAAACATGCCTTGGCTGAAGTTGCTCTGCTCAACTATCAGCACTGTCAGTAAGATACCAACATCACAGATGAAATTCTTAACGAATGTAGACAAAAGCCAGTATGCTTTGTTTTAAGCATTTAATATAGCATGTAAACAATCATTTTCTAATATCCAGTATGTTTTAATGACACAATTGTGCATTATTTGCTGGTCATACCGGTAGCATCTCTGAAAACTATATCAGACTATATCAGACTGACCTGCTAAGAGGATCTTGTCGTCTCTACCTCATAAAAACATTCTCAGCCAGATTTTCTGGACATTTTTTTCTCTTTCAGTAGTTGTAACTGAGCATAGATTCTTTATTTGTCCTCCAGCTTAAGGCTGGACCGGAAGCTGAGTAATCCTGAGCTTCATTCCTGCAAGCATTTTGCATCCTCTCAGCCTCTTTTTCTCTCTCTCTCTCTCCCTCCCTCCCTCCCCTTTATTTTGCTTTTCCCCTCCCCCAGGCAGATAAGCCTTAACCAGACCGAATGTGCTCACAACATCCCCTTCCACCAATCATTTCAATTAGTGCCACATGAGAGGAGCTTCTGTTGGCAATCTGCTTAAGAAGGGGCTAGAGGGCAGAGCATTTGTCTTAGCTGCACAATGAGAAGAAGATGCTATACATATTGCTCACAAAAACTCTTGCCAAGGGCCTGGAAAGTCACATGGTCATGCAAAAGATGTTAAAAGGGATTAAATACAGAGTATTTGTCTAAAAGAAAAACATACTCTACAAACAATGACTTTCTGATGGATCTCACTATGGGATAACATGAACTTAATTAGGCTTCTTTAAAATGTTTTATAAACAGCTAATTGATGTATTTAAGTGCATATATTTATACCTTATTCTAACTAAATAGTATTAGCAAGCAGTCAAAGTACTGAAATTAGTTGTCAAAACTAAGGTTTGCAAAATCCAGAATAAGAATGAGATTTTTAAAAGTGTATTTTTAGGAACACCTGCTTCTCATTCTAAATCCTTTTCTGAAGAAACTTTCTTTTTCATGAACCCCTTGTTTAATTCTATGTATTCATTTTCATCCTCATGAGAAATGCCAGGCCGGAAGAATCACAAGCCGGAATTAAGATTGCAGGGAGAATCATCAACAACCTCAGATAT